AGCAGCAGTAGTACTAGTAGTAGTACTAGTAGAAAAAGAAGGAGGAGGATAACAGGAGCACTAGGGGCCGTACGATCAGCCGTAGCAGGAGCAGTACTCGTCGCAGTCGTACTGATCCTCGTCATGCGTACTCCAAGGTGCGAGCACGAGTAGAAGATACTTTGAAGTAGGAGCTCCAGTCGCGATGTCGTGCTGTCGCCCCCCTCCTTACAGTAGTGTGAAAGCTAAACTTTTGAAGTGTAGAACCCGAAGAAGCTTGGGCAAAGGCCTCCGTTTGCCGGCAGGCTCTGCAGCAGCTGCACTTGCGCACGGCAGATTTCTCCAGAAACCGCATCTCCGTTGAGGCCGAGTGAGAACCATGACGTATAAGTTGTTGATAGTTTTTTGACATTGCCTAGTCAAATTATAATTGCTGCTTAGTCCTTGTTTACAACTGTGATCTCACTTTGTTTCTTGGCGGAGGCTTGGAAGCAAATGGCCGATGCACTGGGCGGTCTGCGCCCGAGACTTCACGCAGCCGCACTTTTAAGTCAGCTGCTGGCTTAGAGTGCTCTCCCTGATCGGGGGTTTTCGGGTAAATTGTCACTTCACAGTTCTGCTAAGTGTTTCATTCCGGCCCATCTCTGGCAGTCAATGTTCAGGAGATTGCACAGTGTACAAGTCGTGATGCAACAAAGGGTATACATCTTCCGTAAACTTGTCCACGATATTCTTTGTTGTATCGGTTTCATGAGTGGCTCTTGGTAGCTTTTGACGGACATGAGATCGCCTGATCAGGTTCTGTGAAGTTACAAGGACTCGACTCGCAGACATCAACTTCCTGAGTTTTTTGCTGACTTCGCAGATTCCCCCAACGACCGGCCCGGCAATTCTCGGGCAATGCTTTGTTTTTTTCTGAGTAGACTTGGCCCGGGATTGCCATGCCTTGAAGCGGCTTCTCGCCCCAAGTGAAAGCCAGAGACAAGTTGACAAGTGCCGTGACGGCCGATAAGGCTTTCAATTGCGACGTACACCGGTAACCTAGAGAGTAAGGTCTTGTGGCTTGTAGTTTGCAGTTGGCCGAGTATTGCTTGCTTGAAATGGTTGAACGTCACCTAGACCTTGAAGAGGTCGTATAAGGCCCCATAGACTCCAACGAGCTCGGATTATGCAGAGATGCAATGGACAGCAGTCCCGTACGAGTTGGAAGCTGCAAAGAAGGGCCAAGAAACAGCCAGAACACCGCCGCCCTGCTTGTCAGGCTTTATAGGCACCGGTTGTCGAAAGCTATCAGAGCCTCAATCAAGACCACTGTGCGCTGGCTGCGCGGCGTTTCGCTAGCCAAAACGCGGGGAAAGAGGTGAGGATGGGGAGCGACTACAAAAAAACACTTAGGACTCGTGCTGCCAGTTCCCATTCGCGTGTGTCGTTGCGAAGTCATTTTCATCAGTTGGATACTTGGCATGTTTACTGCTTTTTGGCTGGAATCAACGGTATCATTTTGGCGTAGTACTGCACGTACAGTTGGCATGACGATCTTCATGAGTCCTTGATGTGTCTATGGCTGCCGGTGCAGTGGAGACTTAGCCCCTGCTTCGCTCCTGCTTCCCACCGCTATGCCCGTGAGCTCAGCAGCTCAGTTCTGTTTTTTACCTGCAAATGTGCTCTAGTTCCAGCCGCTATTTGGGCGCTGCGACTTCCTGATCCGCTGGCAAGAAAAGTCTCGGGCCGTGAGGTGGGCGACTCTGCAGTCTCTGCAGGTCACGGAAGTCGCAGGCGTACCCAGACATGCTCGAATCACAAGGTCGGCACGGGCTTCAACCCGCAAGCATCACCTGGGCCACCATCGCCTCTGAAGCTCCCACTAATTTTGTGGATGGCTCCAGCTCCTCTTTCTTGTGCCTCAGGCCCTATGCATGCCCGGTATCACCTGGTCCTTGAGAGACCCGGATTGCCTCGCGAGGCCTACCCGTTTCCCTAACAAAGCATGCCCAGAGCATGCCGGACAACACATGACTGTAGCAGACCCTGATTCCAATCCAGACTCTGGCGTTGATGATGATGGTGGCGATTTCGTTTTGGATGATAGCGCTCGATGGTCAATGCTCGCATGCGTCGCAGTGTTTAGCAGCCTCAAATGCAAGCGTCGTCGTTGTGGTGCTAGCTACTGCGAGTTCGTCGGTTGGAAATTGGGTGCCTCGCAGAGGTAAAGAGGTGGTGCTGTAGTGGGCCCGGCAGCAACATCAGTCAACAAGCAAAGCTACCAGGAGAATAGAGTCGTCGATAAGCTCTCGATACTCATGTTAACTGCCTTCAGAATCACAGCTGCCACACCAGCAGTAATTATCTTTCTGTGGTCGTGACCGTCGGCAGTGGTAGATCGCGACTACATATGTTATGCAGTTCATACTGCTGACTGCTGCTTGCTTCCCTGCTATTTCTGCAGCTGGCACCAGCGTTCTGTTCGAAATCCTCACAAAGCCTCCTTATATTCGGTCTTCTAGGTGTCGCGTTTATCCTTGCTGCTTCTGCTGTTGTTGGTAAATATCATAGTGCACTTTGCGGTGTCGTGACCATCGTCCTCTTTTGGGTACTACTTTTTGCAGGTTATTCTTCTTGTGATGATGTCGCTGTCGCTGTCGCTGTCGCTGCTGTCGTCGTCGTCGCCGTCCTCGTCCTCGTGGTTGCTCTGGTTGTAGTTCTGGTTGTGGTTGTGGTGGTGGTTGTTGTTGTTTTGTTTTTGTTGTTGTTGTTGTTGTTGTTGTTGTTGCTGTTGTTGTTGTTCTCGTCGTTGTCGTTGTCGTTGTCGTTGTTGTGGTTGTGGTTGTCGTTGTTGTCGTTGTTGTCGTTGTTGTCGTTGTTGTTGTTGTCGTTGTTGTTGTCGTTGTTGT